GATATGAGGTACTGTATATTCATTCATTATTTAAAATCTTAGTTTACCTTCTTTTTTTTTTTAATACTTATTGTTGATGAACAGAATAAGCATTTTGTCTCGTGTCCGTATACCTCTTTCACTCGCATCCGAGTATGAATACAATGGACAAGCTTATGATTATTTCATGCCGCCTTTATCTGGCAACAATGGTGATGCAACATCAGGTCATCCAGATACTTATTTAAGCGTTACTCGTGGTCAATACTTGTAAGTATTATATCAATAATTGCATCATTTAACTTGAATTAACGAAAATTCTTTCTTATTAGCCTACTACAAAAATGGGCTAATGGAGAATTTGTACAAGGACATAAAGCACCAGACCACCATTGCCCACAAGACTACAAGTACAATTTCGATGGCAATCGTGAGCAACGAGAACCCACATATGGAGACAGTAAGATTAACTTTCAAGATATGGTTGACAAAATCCTTGGCCACGACGTATGTGAACAGGATAAAATAATTGCACAAGTTCAGTTTCTAAACAAAGCCGCACTTGAGTCGAGTGTTGGAGGTCCATTCTATCCTGGAATTGAAATTACTTATGTGGCTTATGACGAGAATACGTTTGATAGGTATTATGACTTCAGGTATGCAAGATTATAAACATCACACACGTGTTTGCCTTATTTTTGATACATTATTGCATCTCTTTGATGAAGGATTAATTCCGGAGCGTTTCAACCTGGAGATATCAATGCGTACATGGCTTTACCCTGGCAAGCAGATTTTTACGAGTGCAATACACGCTGGTGGCCAGCTCAAAGACCCGATATTGTAATTCCAAAAGAAGTATATGTAAGTGGAAATTAATACGATTCATTTTATTCATGGAATATTAACGGATCTTTTTTTCTCATAGCAAAAAGATGAAAAGAGGAAAATTCAATCAGACGATTTTGTAAATTGGACCCGCGGCTTAAGACAAAATGAAGCCAGTGATGAACCTAAATGGGGTGATTTGGATATGGTGAGAGTTTGGGATAGGTATGTTGATGGTATCTTATTTAATTATATCTAGAGGTATGTATACTCTGATCTAAGACTACAAACTGTGCAGGTTAGGATTTGTTGTTGAGAAGGAAAACGTCCTCGGTAATAATAAAGCATTCGTTGAGGTTGAACACGCAGACATTTATGGAGTCAATGGAGTCAAAACTCAAGAATTGAAATCACCGACTATCTGCAGATCTTTGATAATAAATGAATCCCTTATGATCATTCTTTTCAATTCCAACTTTATGATGACAGCAATGT